ATGATGCTAAAAAAAACCCACATCTAGCAGTACTTTGCTGTTAACAGTACCATGCTGTTAACAGAACCATGCTGCTAAAAGAACCACACTGCTAACAGTACTTTGCTGTTAACAGGACCACTCTTCTAATAGGACCATGCTGCTAACAGTAACAGTGTTTTATAACACTGTTTTTATTTTGTTTTTATTTGTATGGTGTGTCTAAAACAGTTCTCTCTTGATTGAAAATGAGTCCTCATGACTCATTGAGACTAATCTGTATAAATAAAGGTTTAAAAAAGTTAAAAGCACACTGAAGGAGACAATAAACAACAAGCTTAAGTACAACAAAAAAGGTTAAATTGTATCATCTGGACAAGATTCTTTAGGTGAGAGACGTTTGCTGTTATTTACCTGGATGGTTGAGCTTGCAGACCCTTTTTCTGAATCCCTTCGGCCTTGGTTGTCCTCAGACTGTTTCTGTGAGTAGCAAGTTGGCCATCTGCCTAAAACATTTATGTTGTACAGGATGATTGTTGTGTGGATGAGTGTTGTGTGTTTCCTTGACTGATGAAGCCTTCCGGATGGAAGGTGAAACCTTTCAGCAAAAAAAGAAACTGTCCAAGTGACCTGATTGAAAATTGTTGGATTGTATACCTGGATTATTGAGCATGGACTTTTTTGGTTTTAGGATGATTGATTGTTTTTGGATGGGTGTGTTTGGCACATGTTAAAAGTCTACTTCTGAGATTCCAACAGGAGTTTGGCTTGAACCACAGCAGTGAAGCCTACCTGTGGGACTGATCTGGTTGGCAGGCCTCAGACTGAGGAAGTCCTCTGGATGGGGGTCAAAACGTTTCTCACTTAAAGAAACTGGTCCAGACGACATGATTGAACCTTTTTGTTGTTATTCACCTGGATGACTGAGCTTACAACAAGCTAAGTAATTAAGAAACATACAAACACTGCTGCTTTTTATTACTGACGTTGTTCTGAGGATCATCTGTCCTCATTTGACTGATGGATCTAGCTTGCACCCCTGGACCCGCCCTCTCCGAACCTGTCTCCTCCCAGCAGCTCCTCTCTCCCTGCAACAGGAGGACTCGAAGGGCGAGCACAGCGAGGGGGAGGGAGGCTCCGGAGGAAAAGTGGGCAGAGCCAGGAGAGAAACAAAAAACGTGACTAGGCACCCGAAGCGTCCTGTTATGCAACAACTGACCTACTAACACACATCTAGAGGCTCGGGAGGGAGAAGGAGGAGAGCGAAAGGAGGAAATAAGGGAGAAAAACAAAGAGGGAGGGAGAACATCATGACGCGAGGAGCGCACCAAAACAAGGCGCCGTGCTCACACTCCAGCATCCACCAGCACTGACAGGAGGAGAGGCTGCAGCGGGCTGGACACAGATGGAGAGAAGCCTGCACGAGGACAGGTCTGCGCGCGCCCTCTGTGGATTTTAAACCCTCAGACAAACAGACAGGGGTAAGTGTCTACAACCTCCATGCGCACCGGGACCTGATCCACTCACGGAGCGTGGGTTTGTTTTGTGCGTCAATGTCGAGGCGGGTGGATGTTTGCAGCCTCTGTGGAGCTGCATGCGCGCGCGCGCGCGCGTGTGAGTGTGTGTGGGAGTGGGGGGGTGGGTAGAAAGTTAGAATGAGGCACATTTATTGCACAGTTATTACGCAGATCCGTGCGTAAAAATCATAGTGGCAGCACAAGCAGTTGTTTGTGTCATTATCGGACCCCCCCGTTTACAGACACCTGCTTTGTTTTGGGTTAGTAGGCTAAGGAAAACAACAAACAACAACAAAAATCCTACGCTGTTTTAAGGACTCGTCACGTGGAGCAGCTCTTTGTAAAGGTTAAGGCGGCTGTGCGCAGTTTAACCCTTTATGATCCGCTCACATTTCTCCTGCCTCAACCTTCTTTATATTGTTTTATTATTTATTTGTTTATTTATTTGTTTGCTTGCAGCTGATGAGAGTAGAGAGAATCGGGGTGAGGTTCCCGCGGTCCGAACATCTGGATCTGTTGAACGTGTCTGTGGGTGAATTTCACGGCACAGCTGGAGTCGCGCGGATGACTGAGAATCCGATGAAAAATGCATGAACACGATTTGTCAGGCGGAGCAACAAAAGGAGGCGCGCGAGGGTGTAAGGTGTGTGTGTGTGTGGGGGGGGGGGGGGGGGGTATTGCTCACAAGGTGTTGCTGGATCCATAAGATTCGTTTTGTTAGATCTGATCATGACCTGGAACTCGTCTGAGCAGCTTCAGTCGGCCTGGGGAGTTGGGGGGGGGGGGGGGGGGGGTGTGTGGAAGATTTGCAGACACGTGCGAGTCTTTTGGTTCAATTTAAATCCAGTAATCGATTTCAGGCTTGTCGCTGTTATATATCACGCTGCACGTGGGCATCATATGTCTCTACCCCTCTCCAACTTTCCAGGAACTGCGTGCCTGGAGCAGAGGATGATGCAGTCAGATTATGAAGGAAACGTTTGTTCTGAAACAGTTTTTGTTGTTGTTGCTCATCCTCAGAAACACAAGCTTCAGATTATTAGACATGAAATCAAGAATGAAAATGGATTAAAGGCTGGAGCGGATTATGCAATCTGAGGAAACCCAGAGTCTGCGGCTGTTTGTTGCGCTCTGGGTCTCTGTGCCAGGACTTAATGTAGGTCAGAGCTTTGGGAGGAAAATGTGGGTGGGGGTGGAGGGGTTGTCTGGGAGGTGCAACTAGAAAGGCAGAATCAGAACCAAAATAAATCCTGACCCCACCATAACCAACAAGTCATGCAGAAACGCTGGAAAACAGGCGCAGCTTGAACGTTGTCACTAAAACAGCATCCGAATGATTTTCATTTTTTTACTCAACAAAACATCTGATTAAATGAAGTGGCTGAACTGAGACTGCTGCCCACTGAAGCTGTGTATGGGGGGGGTATAAGGAGTTTATGGTGCGGAGCCACTGTGAAGTTTTCATCCTGACCTCCTTTTACTGGCCTCTTGACTTTCTCAGGGTTTCCTGGCACACGGAAGGTGATGAAAGATGAGGACCTTGCTTTGTTATTGTTCTGTGGTTTGGAGCCATGCAGAAAGGAGAATTACAGTTTGTAGGTCAAGGGAGCGCATGTGACTGCTGCAACACATGGACTGAGTCACTCGGCTTTTCTTTTTCCTTTTACTAAAGAGATGGCGGCTTGTATTGGTGCATATGTCTCTGCTTCTCCTTGTTGAGTTGATGCTCAGACCTTTCTTCTGGACATCTTTTTCTTGAGATTTCAATCTTACACCCCTCCCAGTCCTCGTACCTTCTGTAGCCCACTGTAAAGAAGGGTGTGGATTCCCACACTTTCATCAATCCCTTTGTCAGTGATTGAGATACACTCGCCCCCCCCCCCTCTCTCTCTCTCTCTCTCTCTCTCTCTCTCTCTCTCTCTCTCTCTCTCTCTCTCTCTCTCCTTTCATGTCGTCCCTGCTCTCATTTCCTGAAACAGACCACTGAAACACGTGCAGCGGCTTTGAACTCAGTCCACTCTTTCAAGAGCTCATTGCCCCATTTAGGCTCTTGCGGCGTGGGCCCCGTGGTTGGGTCGAGGGTGGGACACTTGGGATTCTTTTACCGTGCTATCATTTCACAAGTGCCACAGAAACCAAGCGATGACACGTGAAGGATATTTGAATAACGGAAAGAGTGCTCCAGGTCAAGGAAGCAGGTTTGTGGCTTCAGTGGCTAAATTTGGATGTTTGAGCTAGAAAATGCCTTTTAAAGTGTGATACATCTCATAAAATGCTGAAATCTGGACAAAAAAAGCAAAAAACAGAGAACGAGTGCAGATGTCATTCTTCTTCACCCTAAAGAAGAAGTATAAACTATACTCTGTGGTGTCACTGTCCCCTCCATTTGCTTTAAAACGTCTTGACCATGTCAAGGTGCTGGTTTAAAAGAAGGGAGAGAAAGTCTGATACGATTAGTCGTGACTGGCGTTTCCCCTTTTTCGTTGCTATGGGTGACACATTTCTTGTACTGATACAATACCAACACTGTTGCAGTCGCCCCTGGTTTTTCTCCTCCCAAGCAACCGTATAATCTTATCTCCATCTCCTCCTTTGTTTTAACTCTCCCTCACTGCTTCCACTTCTTTGTCTCACTCACATCTCTCTACATTCGTGCATTGCTCTGAATCTTCACACGTACGGCTTCTTTTTTTGCCTCCATTATATTGTTCAAATATTCCCCTTTTCCCTTGCCCTTGCACCGCTCGGCTGACCTATATTCCAGCGAGGCGTACAGTAAAGGAAGCTAGACTCGTTTACTGAACGAGGCTGATCCCCAGTTTCTGGGTCAGTGGGACACGCCAATAAAACCTCTCTCCCGTCAGTTTTTCCTCTCGTGCCGAAAATGCACGTGTCAAACCCTCACAAGGACGACCTTAAATGGTTAACCTAAGTCTGGAAAAACTACTTCAGACATCGGTGCATTTTTCTAAATCTGATTTGGAAAGAAACTTAAACTTAAAACGTATGCTTCTATCTAATTTGTTTAGATAAAATAATATTTTTCTTTCTAGAAAAATAAATGTTCACTATAAAATATTACATAACAGTGTTTAACCCAGAGGAGGAATAGGACAAATAGCCTGTGCAAAACACAACGACAAATTATAACATAACAGATAAATTCAGGATTTGAGTATTGATTTAGCTAATCATTTATATATAATTTTAAATGTATTTTCAGAGAACATTCATACATTTTTGAGAGAATACCTCCAGCGCTACATCACTTCACTTAAATGACTTTGGATTGCACCGTGAAAGGGTCTCTGGGGGTTGTAACGACTTTTATGTTCGGGTAATACTCAGCATTCTTGACCTTGACAATGACATTTTGAATCAAAACTGACATCACAGCATAGGTCGGTCAATCCTGTCATGCTGTGAGTCAGGCACCAGTATAATAATAGTCTTAGCCCCACCATGGAGCGCTTATGAGGACCAACAACTTTTGCTTTCTTATTGCCAGGAGAATGCTGTGATCAGCATGAAACAGTGATCATTTCATCAATTTTTACTCTAAACTATACAGTGCATGATTATGAAAGTGCGTTTCTCAGTGTTTATTACAGTCTGAGTATAATAAATGTTTGAACAAACTTAAGCCAATTTATCATGTCAGGTTTGAAATATTTCACAAGATAACTGAAGCGACAAGAAATTGTGATTTCTAGATAAATGTACTAGACCAACATTAAGTTCTGAACTCATAAAAAGCATGAAAATGTGTAAACAAGGAAGAATAATTAATTCAGTAACATTTTTAGACACATCTTGTCAGCCCATTACGGAGAGGTGCATTCCATGCTCTCAACTCGCGCCATTATTTGAGGCTTTCTAAGAACCCTCTGGTTTTGCTTAAATGCAGCATTTTCTATTCCTCCAGCCCACCTCCTCCATTTTTTCAGGAGCTTTGACCTATATGTATTAACGGTTCACCTTCCAGTCATCCCCACCACCCCCTGCACACACTCAGTCCACAAACACACAACTCCATATCCCTCCTTAGTGTCTCGGTTTCTTTATCCTTGACCTTCATTAGCAGATGCCTTTGTTTGCCCTATCCGCTCACTCAGTAACATCGATTTGACATTGAGTTGTTTTGGCGAAGAATGCTGCCACATTCCTTTGCGGATGAGCACATGGGTTGGGGGTGGGGTGTCAGCAGTATTTGTGAAAGGGTGTTTCTCAATGAAGAACCTGTCTCTCGTGATATCTTTTTAAATTCAAAACGAATCCAAGAAACCCAATTGGATCTTTCAACTGACTCACCCATCGTTCTGTCTGGCTCAAATTCTCATGAGATAAAGCAAAGCGTTAATCCTTGCACAATCCAGTTTTTGTGCTCTGCATGTCTCCGACTGATGTAATATCTGTGCTGTTGTGTAATTCATTTTATGGATGAGCTTGCCTCGGCTGCTGTGTGTGCAAGTTATAATTACCGTCATTTGGTTTTGCTTAGCGCTGCCATTAAAATGTGAGCTTGGGTATTTAAACGTTGCTCACTTGTTTTTATAAGATTCGGAGTGACAAGTTGAAACAGGGCTGGCTGCCTTGCAATGAACTTAGTGCGCCAATTGCATCACAAAACTCAACATCAACATGTCAGGAAAGGGGGTCAGAGGTCACAGGCTGCAGACAGATCTGCTCAGTAGGAGGGTCAAAAGGTCAGACTCTGAAGGTCTAGCAACTATCCAGTTGTTGTCAGGGCATGGCACAGTCAGACATGCCAAAACAACTGAAAAAAAACCCTGCACAAATGTAGAAATGTATCCTTGATCAGCATGCTTTCTTTAAAAACAGTTCTACAAGAAATTATTTTTAAACTGTCATAAAAGAAGTACTGAGTTTGATACATGTGTCTATAATAACACCAACAGTCCTGGATTAACTTTTTTTTTTTTTTTTTATCTCTGCAGACTTTCATCTTGCAGTCATCTGCAAAGAGAACAGACAGAGGGAGACAGAGCGAGGCTCCCCAAGAGACTGACACGCTGAGGTAGACAGGCCTACCTACTTCCTGCTGTTTGTGTGGAGATCTTGGATACCTCAACAGCAACCTTGCACACTGTGTGTTCTCAAGCTAAACCAGAACTTAACTGACCCACTTGCGTGTGTGTTGGACACTGAAAAGGGAACTCTGAAAGTGGATAAATGACGGTGGCTAATTCCAAACTTTGGCTGTTCTTCATCCTTTTGACTTATTTGGACACTTGAGCCCCCTCTTGGTAAGAACGTATCGATCACCAGGCTGCAAACCTTGGGAGGTGACGTATTTTCAGTACAACCCTTTCAATTCAAACTGGCTACTACGCAACAAATATGGAAAATCTGACTTCAGCTGTCCAAACCTCAGAGAATGGCCTTAACAGCCCAGAGACATTCAGCAGCTATGAAGAGTCTATTCCTTCTCTTCAGGGGTCGCCAACTCGCTTGGGGCGCCTTATCAAGCCCAAGCCCAACGTTACCTGCAGACGAAAGCGTCAGTTCATATCCGATGAGAAAAAAGATGCCTCGTACTGGGAAAAACGACGAAAGAACAATGAGGCCGCCAAGCGCTCCAGAGAGAAGCGGCGTCTGAACGACATGGTTTTGGAAAACCATGTTATTGCACTGAATGATGAGAATGCGAGGCTCAAGACAGAGCTGCTCCAGCTGAAGCTGCGCTTCGGCCTTATAAGCACAGCCTCCTACATTGAAAAGAGCCAACAAATTGGTGTGGACAACAGCACAGGAAATGGGGGCTCTTCTTTATCCTGCTCTTCTACTCAGTACTACTCCAGTGGTTATTCCAGTGGTTCTCAGGTGATGATAAACTCTGATTCCTCTGAAACAGAGCAGTCCGGTCGCAGTGAGGGTCACAGGCAGTTGGTGAAGTATTCTCCACGTGGCTCCTTGTCTGACATGTCTGATGGCTCCTCAAGGGACAGCCCAGAGCCACTGCCCTTCGAGATCAAACAGGAAGGTGACAGGCTGGAAATGGATATCACCACTGGCACCACAACCCAGATCATGTTTAACATTCACCGTGGTCTAGCCTCTGTACCAACAAACCACCAGATCCAGCAGCATCAGGAGATAGATGCTGCATATCAGAGCCAGCAGCAGCACCAACCTCACCTACTTCAGCAGCAATCACAACCACACCAGGAGCCTGTCACCACTATCAAACCTGTCAGCCAGGCTGTATCTCACCCACCTGCTGCACAAAGGAGCGTCATTTTGTATGGAGCCAGCAGTGCCCCCTTTCCTGTGGATGCCCTCACAAGGCCCCAGGATGCTGATCTGCAGGCAGCACTGAAGCACAGCAGCAACAGTAGCCAAATACAGCAGGCCATTACAGAGAGCTCCATTGAGACTCTGGCTGAGGTGACAAAACAACTAGAGAAAAAGACATTGGACTCTCCGTTTGAGTTGTTAGACAGTTGTAATGAGGTCAAAGAAAGACAGCTGCACAGACTTTGCCAACTTACCCAGCCACAACTACAGCAGGACCAGCAGTCCCCACAGGACAAGAGTGAATCATCTGCTGAACTCCTGAATGAACAAGTTGAGGAGGTCAGCCATTCTCAGCTGTACCACCATCTCCAGCAGCCTCATCATCCATACCTCAATACACAAGATGAGGAGCCACCAGTGCTAAGCTATGAAGGTGAACACAGAAATGAGGTTTATTATCAAAGCCAGTTACCCTCTTCTAGCAAGGACACCACATCAAGTGAAGGTGACCCCTGCAGCCCTGACAAAGAGGTCTCCACCGATGATGAGGAGTCCCCTTCTTTGTCCTGCTCAGACATGAGCAGTTACCACAGCCATCATTATTCCAGCATCCTCCAGCCTGATTCACCTGTGCCTCAGTACCAAGGCTGTTCCCAGGGACAGGCCTGGGATCTCCAGGGGGAAGTGAGGGGGACCGCATTGCCACACAAACTCAGACTCAAACACCGGGCCATGAGTACCGGAAGCAGTGGCAACAGTGGTGGAAACTGCTCTGGCCAGGAGTCCCCAACCAGCCCCCCACCTGCTACTCCACCTCCTCTCCCCCAGCATCCTTACCTGTCCCTCTCACCATTGCAGAACATTAAACAAGAGAGCCCAGGTGGACCTTACAAACAGGTGGCATCAACAGAGGTGACAAGGAAGGAGGGAGGGAAAAAGGAGTATGGTGGACGACGGAACAAGAGACGAGATTAGGTGACTTTTAGTTTATAACTTGAAGACACAGTTTCTCCTCTAAGAACTACCCTGCCATCATGCCTTTGCCCTATAATTGGATCCCATCTTTAAGTTCTTGGGACAATAGTCAAGGCTTTTTTTATTTTCCCAATGCCCGGAGTCACCAAAAGGCTGGACATATTGTAGGGCTGTATGATATTTGTATGTATTGTACAGTTTTGTCATTTCTTATATCCTCTCTATACTTTCAGAAGCACTTTTGTTTATGAGATGAGAGGAGGAATGGAACTCCTTGCTTTTCTACTTTTTCTCATTCAACAACACCCAGCGAAGTACGTCACTAAGAGCACATTTGATAGTTCGGGAAAAAAGAATGTAAAAACTGAAAGCTATTATAAATTTGGTACATATCCAATTGTAGATGAGCCTACACATGTTCGGCTCTCTGCCTTAACTACAATCAAATGCAATCATTCACTGGGGATATCCTGTCAACCAAAGAACGCCACAGTCATTGTAAATATTAAGTTCCATCCTCTTCCCAAACCCTACCTCTATCAGTCCATCCTCTACCATCTCCATTGTATCCCATAAATAAATCACCATCGCATTTATTTTTAAGCACTTCTTTTTGTATATAAATGTGATATAAATGAATATATGTATCTATTTTAAACCTATATTTTAGAGAAAAAAGTTCGAATACAAATTCAAGAAAAAAAAAAAATCCTGGCCAACCTTAAGTGGTGTAAGAGGACTCTGAAAGTGACCACCCTATGACAAATCACAGTTACTGTACATTCACAATGTCCATTACTTTCAGGGCCCAGTTAAAAGAAAAGTTGAGCTATTTTGAAGTTGGTCTCTCTATATATAAGTTATAAATGTATAAATACAATCTTAGAAATATTTTTCAAGAGTGTCATTGAAGGAATGGTTCAGTGGGACAGAAATGACAAGTTAACGGCTAATCTGAAGCAGCTATAGCTAAAATGGATCGCTACTGGCTTAAATGAGCTCTTGGTTATTTATGTGAATTCTCTAGTATTTTTTTTACAACTGTGGAAGTGTTGATATATTAGGGTCACATGACATCTAGCAAGAATTTCCTAATATTTTTGCTAAATCTACCAGTTAATGCAAAATTTAAGACAATGGCATTGCGAGAAAATGTGAAATTCCAAATGTACTGCTAAGCTCAAACCAGCCAGTTCAAATAAATTTGTTTCGACCACAGATTTTACCATCTTGAATCAACTCAATTTTCACAGCATTTCTTACACACACAATTATTTAAACCTTTACATTGACATCAGTCTTGCATTGTACTGTTATTTCTGTCCAAATATTCTGAAACTTACACAAACCGTGTCACAAATACAACATTTGTGCCTCTAAATAACCATAAACTCCAAGTAAATGCAACTTTGATTGTGATTTAATGGTTTATAAAATGCCATTCTCATACGTTATGATGACATTTTAGAGACTAGAGCTGCTTTTTGAGTGACAGTCCAGTTTGGTTTTAGGGGTCCGTGGTAACTATAGACATAGCCGTGGTTTCATTGTCTTGAGGCTGCAGGCTTTGAGCCCAGGTTATGCCAATAAGGACACGGTCACCAAATCTCCATGCAAGTTTCCTTGCCGTGGCAGAAGAGAGCAGCCAAAAAAGGAAAAACAAATCCATTTTGGGTCTTAGCTGTATTCAGACAAACCATTAGGTTATGGATCAGGTTAGGTTTGAACCATTTCCCTAAATTGAGGCTGTTCAAAAAGCTATCTGCAACGGTTAAAACCTTTTTTGTTTTTAAGCTGTCAAAAAAATTCCACTTCAAAATGGCTAAACTATTGCTTAAAAATGAACATCACTTGATAATTGAGCATTGGCGTTAATGTCCTGTTTACCAATTTTCAGAGTTCGCAGCATCTAACGAACAATTTTCTTCTTGAGACTATGACCTCATTAAAATGTTTGGATCTACAAAGTATAAACCTTTAACCAGCTGTTTTAGTTTCCAGTGGGATTCACAAGCTGCAGGCTTTAAAGCCTTTAGTTTCTTTGAGCTTTATCAATTGTATCTTCTTCTTGTTGCTGTTCACTGGCCCATGTATTTATCTCCTCCTCATCAACGCGCCCATCACTGAAAAAGAAAAAAAAAACACAGGAACGTAGACGAGGAATGTGTACAGACCCTTTTAGATACCTGTCACAACCTAGATAGTTGAGTTTTTATGCTGGTGGTGATACTTGGGAGTAAAAGCAGGATCAATTTAGACCCATTTATTTAAACACACTACAGTGCACTGAGTTCATAAGGAGAGCCTCCTCCTGTGACGAGCCCTGCATAGCTACTGTTTATTTTTAGTGTCATGAAATATGGTTTAGTAGTGTGACCAAGAAGGCCCATGACAAATTTTAGAACAAGTTTACGTTAGGAAAAGTTAATTATAACATAAAAACAGCTAATTCCAATTGAATTCAGTTAATGTTCTAATATTATAATTAAAAGTCATAGTGAGGGTCCTCCCATGTTTCCCCAAATGGCTCCATTGGGCGTTGTTTTTCAGGGGTTGTTGGACCCCTTATCGTAGTTCTGCTACTGGGTTGTGATGAATTGCCTTCACTGGATTCTACTTTAATGTCTGTGTACCATGTTTGGCTTTGTTGGTGCTTGTGTATAAATGTAAAGTTTCACAAACACTGTAATGTTTGTTTCATTTGTTTTATATCCCGTGATGTTCTGTTTCCTTCTATGCTGTGTCTTTTACTCCTACTGACTGTGATGACGTGTATTTGATCCATTCCTCCGTACCCCGGCCCACTTTTTTCAGTGTGTGTTGATCAGTAATGTCTGTGGTTTTGCCAGTGGTTTTAAAGATGAAGCCAGGAGAGAAAAAATAAGGCAAAATAAGTGTGGTGTTTAGAGATGGGTGGTGGTTGGTCTGGCTGGTCAATACCATGTAAAGACACTAATGTTTATTGTGGGAACATTTCAACAATAAAAAAAAAGAATGTTGACTTGTCGACATAATCAACAAAATAATTCACTTTTTCTGAGTTTTTATTGGTGCTTTATTTATTTGCTTTTATGCATGTTGGTCCAGTTCAAATTTAATATATTGGTTTATATTTCAAATGAAAACTTTTTATTGATAAGTTTTTCTGCTGTACTGTGTTTTGTCAGAAACTCAAGATTCCAGAGAAGCCAAAGCTCTAAAGGCACACCTTGTTTTTAGTGAAGGTCTTGTGTTGCACAGTTTCTGTTGAACACCTGACTCTTTTTGGCATCAGAGGGGCAATAAGAGAAGCAAAGCTGTGACATGCTGACACACTTTACTCAAATGGACCAAAAAGTTCCCATGGCAAGTTAGTGTGATGTAACACTGTCCTACTTCTACAGGCTCACGGCCTGCAAATACCTTTAGACCTGCAGCCCACATCAGGGGAGGACAGAAGTAGGTCCTAACTTTATAAATTGACTTCACTTGACCTAACTCATAACACAACTTTAAAAACAAATAAGAAAAGTATTGCAAAAACTAACATGCAAATAAAAAAGGAATAAAGAAATGCTGTGGGAATTTACATTTTTAAATATTTATCCATTGAAAAACAAGAAAAAGAATGAATTGATGTTTATTATAAGGCGATATGACAAAAAGTGTAACAAATTTATTTTAATGTTTTGGTTAGGTTCATTTGTTTAGGAACTAAGTACGAACTTTAAGATAAATTCATGTTTTTGTAAAAAAAAAAAAATTAAAAAAACCATTGAAAATTAAAAGGGAAACCCAAAGACAAATGATGAAATGAAAATTGAAAAACACAAAAAACTCAAAAGTTATATAAAAGCAAAGAAGGATAATGTATTTACAACAACAAAAAACAGAAATATTTATACATATATGTATGTATTCTACATGCAGTTTTCAGTGCTGCAATGCCTAAAAAAAAACAATGTAAAATTGTAATCACACACTGTGTCCCTGAAAAACATTTAATCTCGACTAAACACATGCAGTCACATATAAACAATGATTATTTTTAATCTAATATTTCCCACTAAACCAGAATTAGGTCAATTTCATAACATAAAGGCAAAGGGAGGCTCAGTAAAGATGGAAGTCGGGGGAGGGAGGGTGTAGAAGCTACAGGAGGAGGGAATGTAACCCAGAGTAGTAACTTCATCTTCGCCTGCAAACAAAGCAGCTCTTTGAGGCTGACACATCAGTGTCCTTCACAATGCTCTCAGTCACACACGCAAGAACATGTGCACACACACACACACACACACACGTACATCATTCCCACATGAATGCAACGGGAAAAATAAAACTATTTGTCATTACTAAAGGACTTCAGCTTTTTTTTTTTATTCAATTAACATTCTTTATAATCGCCTCACAACAGCAGTTGGCTGCAATAGCATCAACTGCTGTTTGTATCCCCCACATCAAGGTGACACTGGATGCAAGCACAGCAAAACTCGTGCAGCACTCTGCTGCACCGCTTCTGTTCCTGATCTGACTCTCTGCACCGACGCTTGCATAAACAGGTCACGAGGAAAGTAGGTCACCGTGCGTGAGACAGGAGAAGAGAGGGAAAGTAGAACTGGAGTGAGGCAAGGGAAGAGGGAGTGGGTGGTTCCATTCCCATCACTTTGTCTCTGACACCAGTGATGCTTTTTCCACACGGTGCAGAAACAGGGCCCTCGTGTTACCTGGTTCTTCGTCACAGCTTGCAGATAACGAGCTAGTGGGACAGGAGAAGAAGTGGGAATGAGAGAACAGAATCGAATGGAGAGGGGAAATCCTTCAACATTAAAATATATCTGGTTTATTTCCAGTATGACAGACGAGATTCTTGTAAAAAAAAAAAAAAAAAAGTCAAGCCAGATTCAAGTGAAATGATGTGAAGGTCCCGCTCACTGTGAACTGTGATCACAAAACTCCCTTTGTTTCATCTGCTGTTACAGATGGTCATGATGACTCTGAACAAATATGGAAAAAAAGACTTATGTAAACACGATTACAGAGAAATGCAATGGTGCATGTGCACATGCAAATGTAACGAGTACATCTGAACAAATAACTTCTAACGATTCACCCTGCTGTGGAAATGAGTCATATAAACAGCTAAAAGTGTTGATTTCTTAACAGTCCTCAATGCAGGCTATGATTACAGGTTAACTATTGAACTGACGTTAGGTTAGCTTAAACAAGACCTTTACATGAACAGAAAAAAAAACATTGTTTGATGTAAAACATAGACATTATTCCTGGAAAAGGATCCCATTACTCAAAGTCAGTTAAAAAAGTTAGTGAATACCTAATAGAACTAATTTATGGCTTGAGGCCCACTGTTAGCTTTATCTCAGGTTATACAGAGTCAGAGGAAATGTCTGATGAGAGGGCATGATTATGGACAAACAACAGTGAGAAGTAATGTTTGAAGTAGAAATATTATGTATATCTCATTTACACGAGGTCAAAGCATTACATGCACTCATCACGGACATAAATGTCACCGGTTTCAGGCTTTTACTGGTTTATCTGCGCTGTTTTTTAGTGTGTACTTCGTGTATAACTTTACTGATTTTGAAAATAAAAATTGGGTGCATAAGTTTGAATTCATTATGGATTTTAACCACGCAGTTTTAAAGATGTAGATGCATTTAGCTATTGTTTGAATAAGTGTTGCTAAATGTTCTCAAATGTCTTTTAACGCGACAAGGTCTACCCTTTTGATAGTGATCCTGACTGACTGCAGCTGGAAGTTCAAATAATTTGTTTACAGCTTTCATTTGGAAAAAAAAAAAAAGAGTTTCCAAAGCTTCTGCCTTAAATACGCCAGTAGCTTGTAGATGTCTAACGATAAAGGTTTGGCTGAGGTGCAGCTTTCTAAAGAACATTTGACCAAAACTCTGTGGAGTTTTATGCAACGTATAAATTCTGACCTGAAAAAAATCCACAATAAATTCAAACTTTTGCACTTAATGCTTCTTTTTTTTTCTTAAGTTTTATGTTAAATAATAATTTAATCCTGGGAGAGAAAAAAACAATTCACAAACATTTTTTTTTTAAATCACAAATAAGTAAAACATGATAAGCTCATCGTTTTTGACTGCAACTATAGATGTCGGGAGTTTTTACCAGACCGAGTTACAACAAGAATACCACCAACGTCACATTATACGACCTGCCAGTAAATTGTCAGCGTAATCAAAGTCCAAAGCATAAATTCCTTAACACAACAATCATGATTATATGTGTCTGTTAAGTAAATACAAACCTGTGGTGCAGTGACAAGTCAATTTCACACATGATGTTATCCATGTGTAAACCGACAAACATGTAGGAACATGAAAGTTGCAATGTTACACAATTACCCCCTGATGATGCAAGCCTAGATAAAGTTTTAACAAAGGGTGCACCTGTGACCTTGACTTTTGACCCCATGACCTTGAAATCAATAGGGATCATCCTTGATCCATGGGGTGTCCATCTGTGCCATTTGACATTCCTGCGTTACACAGTTGCAGATTTAAAGCACAATGTTTTCAGACAGGGGTCACTGTGGACTCTGTAACCTTGAAATCAATAGGGATCGTTCTTGACTCATGAGGTGTCCAGCTGTGCAGTTTGATGTTTCCGTGTTAAAGGGTTATCAGTTCAGAGCTTAGAGAACATTGTTTTTCCACAGACGGATAGACGGCATACCATAATGTGTCCCGTTTTAGAATGATCGAATAAAAACATAAACTCTGTGCATTTATATTGGGGCCTCTGTGGTCTAAAGAAATGTGCGATTAATTCATAATAAAGAAGTTTATCACATTTAAATGAAGAGTGGTGTAGTGATGTAAGGGTTAACTTCACTACTAATTAATTATTCTTAAAGCTAGTTCAAGCACAAAGAATATTAATTGTTTAATTACAACGGATTCTTTTCTTTTTCGAGTTAAATTTCTGTTCTGTGACCCAGATAACTTGTGAGTGGAGTATAATCAGTGACATGAGACGCCATTTTATCTTTGACCCATCAGAATAAATGTGGTCATTTATTTAACAGAATCAAAATTTAACATCAAACATGTACACATTGATTTGCTGATCTGTTTCTGATTAATAAACTTGGCACGCTTTACTAACAAGACAACAGAAGATTACTGATTGAGACTGATTCATCTCTGAAGGCATCTAGCTGGATTTACTGGCGAATAGAAGTTTAAAGAGAAGGAGAATGGAAGTTTAAAGATTTAAAGAGGAGGTTTAGATGGATGAAAGTTATGTGTTGAACCAGAACATTGCACCCTTCCTCCGACATCCAGCTCAGCTCTCCGGTACACTTCAGGACGTCAATGGCTTGTTACCTGAGATGGTGGATACCTCCACTCCGGAACAGAAGTCCATTAGCACGCTCCCTTTTCAGCGTCTCCGGTTAAAGTAGCTGGGGTCATCAGAAATTGTGACGAAGTACTCGGTTCAACCGAATAAGCTTCCTTAGAAGTGGAGCATTTACTGCTCGGGTTGAGTTTTAACTAAATATTTATCCGCTACTTAGTTGAGTCTCATCTCCGACTGAAAGTTCCAGCAAGACTGGAAAAGACTTCGAAGAAGACTGAGTTCCAGGACTTAGCCCTAAGACTGAATAGTTCCAAGAAGTGTCGCCTTTTAAAGAGGTATCCACTTCCTGTTACGTGGTACTTCCTGATTGGTTGAAACAACCAGCAGGGGTGTGTTTCTAGTGATGTTAGACTGTCACTAGAAGTCAAGAGAGGATGCAGGAATGTTTAAGAACGGTTAGTACAGACGGAGAAATGTTTTTAAGAGGTGAGAGGAAGCAGGTGCCAACACCTCTTATTTACTGTCTGCGAGTTTTAAAAACAAGACACTTCGTTCTAATAACTCGTCTCTGACTTTCGACCGACATTCACTACTACTCCTCATTCAGACAGAAGACTAAATGCACACTTACTTCGTAAATAGGCATTTAACTGTATGATCAAAAATCTGATGAGGTTTAAAAATCATTAATACTGTT